CTTTGCGGAGCTGCAGGTGCCCAAGCCGGGGCCCCCAATTACTTGGTGGGTGCCTTTTGCCGTGAGAGAGCCGTGGGCGCTGGCAGTTTTCCCACGGCCTGGCTGGGGCGGAAGGATTTGGACAACAAAAGTCCAAAAAGACTCAACGAGGGGCGCGAGGGGTTGGCTCAACTTCCCCTGAAAGGTGCGGCTTGAACTTGCGGCATGGATATGTCTACGCAGTCCGGCCGTTGCAGCGGTCCCCCGTTGGAGGGTTTGCACGGGTGGGGTCGATATTTTGAGCCCAACATGGAAACCGGAAGGCTCCTAGCAACATGTTTGCCTTTCAAACCTAGGTTCGGGCACCGGCGGCTGCTGCTGATGGCGGCGGCAGAGTTGCGCAAGGCGCGCTTTGATGGAGATTTGGGCCTGATTTGGATGCGTGAATTATTGAGGCTCGGTCTTCTTTCTAGGGTTGGCGATGGAAATCAACAGGATTCCCGAATTGCTTCCTTGCAGGGGAGGTGCGTTTGTGGCTGGCTGGCCGGCGCCGGTCGGTTGGTTGGTGGGTTGGTTGGTTTCGAACCGCAAGGCGCCAGCCCCGGCCCCGGTCCAGCTCCGACCCAGCTCTGGGCCGCAGCTCGTTCCCTTCGCCCCAGGCCCGGGCTGTCGCGACTAGCTTCGTACCCCTTGGCTTCCGCGGTTTCCAGGCCACTTTGTCAGGGGTATATAGCCCTGCTGGGAAGAGGGGTATGAACATCAGCAGGATTTTGGGTTCATTTGTCCAAGGCGTATGTAAAAGGGGAATATACAAGCACCCTCACCAAGCGTGGCGTCAGTGCTGCGCCGCTCCCGTCCTCAGGTCCTAACCGTAGGCTGATCAGAAACCGAGCCGCTGGAGAAGCTCCGCTCGGCAGGCCCGAGACCGGTGTCGCAGCCGCAGCCGCAGCCGCGCCAGCCGCAGCCGCATCAGCCGCATCAGCCGCATCAGCCGCATCAGCCGCAGCAGGCCGGCAGAACAGGGGCGGATCACGCAGACTGGGGGTTCAACGGCCGAGTCGGGAGGTTTTTTTTTCCATGCCAGTGATCAGCAAGAACACATGTGCCATTGTTGTTTTGCGGAGGCACTTGCAACAAGCCAATGCGGGCAGCTTACAGCTCCAGCACTTCAAATGTTCATCGGCATGAGAATACTGGTAAGGGCAAGGGGTATACAGAGCATGGCTTGTTTCAACTAGGCCCGTGACTTCAGTTTTTGCGGAAGCGCTGACAGGTGGGACCTTGAGCCGAGGATTAATTACTCCCATTTCATACCTTTTTTCGATTCCTGCAGAGGCTGACGCCATGGACATTTGGCCGGTCAAGAAGTGAATTCGCCTAAGACCAAAGAGTTGCTCCCAATGGATTTACTGGGGATAGTTTCTCTGGCGCGTTTTTCGCTGAGCAAATTTGGAGTTGTGATCTTGTTTGCCTGGCAAGTGGTTCTCTCCATATTTTGTCCATAGCGGGGGCGGTTTGCGCCGAAAACAGGTGCCTGCTGCGGTGCCTTTGCGCATCCAGGCTTCGAAGGGGCGTTGGTGATTTGGAGGGTTTGTCTTCGAAGGGGCCGAAAGATGGGAGCTCCGTCCATGAGTTCCCTTCCTGTTTGGAGCATGACTATTGACAACTGACCGTTCATGTTGCATTTCTTGGCTTTACGGGTGGTCCTCAACCGTTGTGTGTTGGTGAAACGGACGGTGCAACTCCCGGTCTCGTGCCAGCGGGGGGTGCGGGCGGGGAGACGTCCGGGAGCTGTCAGCTTCAGGTGCCGACGGTGAGAGCGCCCACCGTGTACCTGGGCGCCCGGGCCTCAGCGTGGCATCGCTGGGGTCATGGTGCCCTGGCTGGCTTGGCTTGGCTCGGCTCGGCTTGGCAAGGCAAAGCAAAGCGTGGCTTGCTTGCTTGCCTGCCTTGGTTGGTTGGTTGGTTGGTTGAGGTGGTTGCTTGCTTTGCTTTGCTTCGCTTTGCTATTCACTTGCTTTCTCATTTGCTTTGCTTGCCTTGCTTGCTTGGCTCGGCTGGCCGGCTGGCATGCTTCCTCGGCTTGCTTGGCTTGCCTTGTTGGTTTCGCCGGAGCTTTGCTTGCGCTCCGGCCCCTCTTTTTGTCGTTCGGAGCGCTCGTTGGAGCGTTTCCTCTCGCTGAGCCCCATGGCCAGTCGACCGTCTGGCCGGCGCGGCCGAAGCCGCTGCCCGGTTCAGGCGCAGCGGGAAAAGAAAACCGGGGCGGTCGGAAGAGTTTGGGTTGGATCATGCTGGGAGCATTTTTTTTGTCAACGAGTCTCTTTTTTTTTTGTGAAGCAGTTTTTTTTTTGAACAAGTCTTATGTATGATTTCGGATTCTTAAAAAAAAGGTCAGGTGGAATCATGGTTGCGATTGCTCGTGAAATGATCCTGCGGAGGTTTGGTCTGCTGTGCTGATTTCATCAGTCAGGGATCAGAAGATCAGACTCCCTACAACTCTACATTCGACTCAAGTACATGGTGGTGCTTGGAATTGTCGCTCTTGACATTGTGAGTGCCTCACGGATGCCACGTGGAAGAAGGCCTTGCCTTGCCAGAGACAGCCGGCGACATGTTTTTCATATTGCCTTGTTCCATTTCTTCTGAATGCTTTGCTGGCTGTTTGAAATGTCTGCGGTCAAGGGCTCTTGAATGGGGCCTGTCCAGAGCTTGACAGACTCCAGCCCCCAGGGCCCACGCTACCGTCGCGGGCGCAGTCGGCAGGGGCCTTTGGTCATTCATGGCTCAGCCGTGCATGCAGTGAAGTACGGTTGGGTTCTGCCACCATGTGGCGGAAGCCCATCATGGAAAAGGAGCTTCAGCTGTGCAAGCCAGAGCAAAGGGGGATACTTGCGACATGCCACGAGATGCTCAGAGGTTCTCGGCCGCCTCTCCAGCGCAGAGTCGTTTTTTGTCAAAGGTGACGGCTCCTGCGTGCCCGCCCAGAGACGATGGGAAGGCCAGGGAAACACGGATGCACCTTCCGCCGGAGAGTTTCTGCGGTCGGATGCGTGGCCCCTGAAGTAAGACCTTCTGGCTTGTTGCTCGCAGCGTTCACGACAATTCTGAGCATACCTCCACATTTGGGGACAAAAGGGGTGCGGGGAGCTGGGGATTGTTTGTCTGACCGAAGGCATTGCTCCGATTCTCCGATGGACCTAGAAAATCTGATTCTCGTTGGAACCATTTGCCACAGGCGCGGGGCGAGCGTGCGCCAGTCTCCTCCCCAAGGGACACTCTGGACGACGCCTGGCTGTGATGGGTGGGGGGGGGGGCATCCACTGGGTTGCAAGAAGCCGTGGCTTGAGCTGTGTGGGCGAGGGAAGCAAATAAAGTTTGTGGCACATGTGGCAAAGTTTGGCTCTGCCATTTCAGGTGTTGGTTTGTATGTCTGGCGGGATGATGCAGGAAGCAAGGCAATTACGTCACAGCAGTGCGTGAGAGATCAACTGCCCCAAACGCAATGCTTTTGTTGGTTTCTCGGCGCCAACGTTCAGAACTCAAGTGGCTTGTGTTTTTTGCTCCTTCCTCTATTTCCACGAAAAAATCTATGTGGCACGCACCACACACACACACACACACATGTCACATGACATATTCCAGTGCTGCATGGGTTCAGCACATGCATCGCCCAGGCAGGCCGCTCGCAGCCCCGGAGTCGGTCGCTGTCACCACCGGGGGCTTGTGCCAGCCGCATGGCAAGGCGGGAACTTGACCGCTTGCAGTTTGGCATATGAGCCACGTGCTCAAAACCCGGGTAGATGAAGGTTAGTAAGGGATGATCCCCTTGCAATAAATAGCTGCGGATATCCGCCTTCTTAATTCTTTACATGGTCCCGGGTTTTGATTATGACTCATATGGGGGTTAATCAATTTTCCTGGCCCCATAGATAGCTTTCTCCGCTTGGTGGGAAATATCATTTTTGCTTGTGGCTTCTTTAATCGTCGCCCCATGTAAAGGACCTTTGGATCAACCCCCATATTCTGCGCATGGGGGGGCAGTCTGAAGCAGTGCTCTAGAGCGCATGACTCCAGTCTTCATATTCTTCTGAGACCGTGAGTGACTTGCCGGTGCGAGAGATGCAGGGAATGAGAATCGGAATGAGCCTGAAATAAACCGTCCCATGGGTTCCTTCCCTCATGAACCCGCTAAGAGCGTGCTGGCGGTTTTGTTTCTTGACTGCCTCTCTGGTTCCTTCCATGCCTGTCGACGGTGTGAAGGGTCACCCAGAATGGCTCAAAATTACACGCTATCCGGAAATGTGAAATGGGGTCAAGACCCAGTGGGTGTATTCCCAGGTTGTTTTTTCAAAACCCCTTGGAACTTGACCCCTCAGAGCCTCCACTTTCGCCTTGGTCTGAGGCCCAGGTGGGAGCCGGTGGTACGTGAGGCGCGAAGGTGACGCGGCGTGACGCGGCGTAGGGGGGTTGGAGGCGCACACCGGGTGAACGAAGTGGACAGGGAGAAGTCCTGCGCCCCCTGATTGGGTGAGTAGGAGGGGGGGGGGGAAATTGATCTAGGGCTCCCATGCAGGGTTGGACTGTGGGACCGTGGGAGATTTTGGCACATTTGTTTTAAGGTCTTTGGTAGTTTGACTGAAAGGATATGGGAATATTTGTGTACTGCATAATATATATATATATATATACACATATTATAGAGAGTTCATGCCGGAGGTCATGAAGTAAGATGATGCCAGAAAATTACCAAACAAATGTATATGAGTGGGTTGTTTGCTTTGAGTGCAAGTCGCTTCCTTTCGCACACAATTTGGTGCTGTAGGTATATTGCCGAGACATGGAGCTTGCCTATCTAGGATGTGTGTGTGTGTGTGTGCTAGATGCCTAGATTTGCCCACCAAACCCAAGAGATTGGGAGTGGGTGACAGCAGCAGCTTTCTTCCTTTGGCCTTTGAACGATCGCATTCTAGCAGCCCAAGCGCCACTCCCAGCCATCCCAAGACCCGTGGAATCGCCCACTCATGGCCAACCGGACCCCAGACGCGGACCCAGCTCTGAAGGCCGGTGCCCTGGTGGGGTTGAGCAAGGGCTGAGCAAGGGGCTTCGTGGTTCTGGTGGAGTGTGGTGTTTGTGGTGGTTGGCCGCTTCTAGCGGTTTTTGTGGTTGTGCATGTGGTAGCTTCGAAAGCGTGGGTGAGTCTGTCAGTGCTGACCTTCGTGGTGGTCGTGGTCATTCTGGGTCTTTTCCTTTGCCTTTTGTTCGGGCAGCTTCACTGGAGCCTGCCAGCACATCCCAGAGGGGGGACATTCAGTTTGTTTGGGCGGCCAAGAAACTAAATGTTGGCAGTGACGCTTCATTCTGCATCGGCCAGCTTCTCGCAATGGCAGCAGTGGATGTTGAGGCTAAGCATGGATTCCTACCATCTGCAAAGTTGTGTCCCAGATTGACCACTTTCCGAGTTGAGAGTTGACATGATCCGTTTGACGGTGGTAGCTGAAGCCTCTGAGGCGCGACCCAGTTACAAGACACCCGCTGAGCCAACCGGCGACAGAGATTTCATCCGGAGCTCCAGGCCCATCTCCCCCGCGCGCTTGGCTTTCTTTGGCCTTTTCGCCAATTCTCCGACGCGGACAACGAAACGAGGTTTACACCGATCCGGACGGGCGCAGCTCAAAGGGTGGAACTGGGTCTGGCTGTAGGTAATGTCTCCGGCTTGGTGTTGTATTTGCGGCCGTGGATTGGAGCGAGTCAGTACACTTGCCAGCTGATGTGAGCGGGCCGGGTGCTGATTTCCTGTCTCTCATGTGATCACTGGGTTGAGAGGGTTCGATCAATGCCAGCGGCCGCCGAGCCAAGCACGCGTCCAGCTGTGACTTGAAAGGATGTCGCTCCATGTTTTTCATTTCTCTAGCTCGTTGCTTTCTTATCCAGCTAGTTGGTTTTTGTATTTTCCCGTTTTTTTATCGGCATTTTCGAGGTCTTGTTTGAGTCAGGCCAAGAACGCAGGTCCAAAGCCAGCTCTTGGCCCTCCCTCTGTGTTTAGACTGTTCTTCATGAAGGGCTCTTGGTTTCTTGTTGCCCGGAAACTGGCTTCACAGTTTTCAGGTCCTAGCTGGTGCGCCATCCTTGCTGCGACTTGCGTGTTATCCGCCGTGCCGCGGCTTGGCTTGCTTCAGAAAAGAGCGGCCCGCTTTCGAAAGCCGCCGAAAGCGAGGTCCGAAGTTTCACCGAGTGCTCATCCGCTTGCAGTTGGATCATCGGCATGTTGGAAGCCTTGGCTCAAAGTAGCCGTGATCACGTGCCTGCCGAGCAAAGCGCACAGAGTTCGGCTCGAGGGGTGTAGGCCTGCACGACCTTACGTGAAACTTGACTCTTGGTCTCCAGGTGAGGTAACCACGCCAAGTATGGGGAACAATGCTGAAAAAGACGGTCTCGTTCTCCGCTTGACAGCAAGACAAAGTGAGCCAACATAGGCCCTAGTTCAGGCAATTGCTCAAGAAGAGCACCGACCGCAATGGCGCACGTTGTCGCAGCTGCCCTTGCAAACGTTTCTCGCCTTAGGTGAGCGCATACACGGCATGCTTTGAGGTATGCTGCCCCATCATCCTCATCCTTATCATCATCAGCGCGCCACCACCAACGATAAGAAGAGCAAAAGCAACAGGAACAACCAGAACAACAAGAGCAACATCAGCAACTCAACGGCGACAGCATCAGCTTCAACTTTGGCTTTCGTTTTTTTCAAGTTGAGTACCCACTTCGCCGGATGCAACGCGTTGCTTTGGCCTGCGCGCGAGACCGTGGCTTTTTTTTGGCGTGCCGGCCCAGGCTCAGGCAATGGCCCAGGCGCCGAAGGAGCCGAAACCGGCGCCGAAACCGGCGCCGGCGGCGGCGGCGCCGAAACCGGCGCCGCCCAATCCGCCGGCGGCGAAGGCGGAGGCGGGATTCGGAGTGGGGGGTTGGAAGGACAAATCCGAGCGAGAGCCGGTTTTTTGCCGCAATCCTACAAAACACGAGATGTTGGAGAAATTGGTTTGATATTGGCAAGTCGCAAAAAATACATCGCTTCGAGCAATCCCCACCCTCCACACTTACGAGCTTACGACCGTTACAACAAATTCCTCCGCGTCCTAGAGACTTTGACTCCAAATTCCCGTCCGCCCTTTGGGACATTAAGCGGCGGGCTGCTCTGGTGGGATACTCGGCGGGTCCACTGGCGGGCTGCTCTGGCGGGATACTCGGCGGGTCCGCTGGCGGGCTGCTCTGGCGGGATACTCGGCGGGATACTCGGCGGGATCCACTGGCCAGCTGCTCTGGCGGGATACTCGGCGGGATCCACTGGCAAGCCGCTCTGGCGGAATACTGGGCGGGATCCACTGGCGAGCAGCTCTGGCGGGATACTCGGCGGGATCCGCAGCTGCTCTGGCGGGATACTCGGCGGGATCCACTGGCGAGCTGCTCTGGCGGGATACTGGGTGGGGGCGTGGTGTAGAAGCATCGCAAACGCGGATTCCAATATGAAATCTAACAACCCCTTCCTGTTGGGTGGGGAAAATCATCGAGCGCTTGGCGAGTTGAGCCTTGCGCCCTGGGCCCGTGATCTGATGGCTGCCCTGTTCAGAGGCGCCCCCCCCATCCAGTGGCTATCGGCTCCATCAGCTTTGGGCGATGCTATTCAAAGGATCCAAGGTGTGGCCAGCTTCCGCGCTTTCAGGGGATAACCAGCGACTTGCAAAACGTTGCGACCTTTCACCTACGCTTGCAGAAACTCGGACTGGGCCAGCTGGGACAAAGGGCTGCCGTCAGGTGGAGGTCATCATCAGCGATGAAGACAGGCCCCTGCTGCTCTGAGCCCGCCTTTGCGGGTCACAACTGGAAGGAACAACAGCAGTGTTCTCCCTTCTCATGGAGAGTTCCCATTGATGGGCGACTTTGCGAGCATAGGTGTCCTTTTTGGTTTACCAGGTGATTTGCTCATCTACCAGGGAAACCCATCTATGTCCCCCAACAGGACACCTATGTTTGCGAGTCGCTGCTTGATCCATCGCCCGCCGCGCCTTGGTCAGGGCGGAGTTGGAGCGCCGGGCCGAGGAGGGAGAAGACGCCGCGTCGGTCGAGGCTTTCGATCGGGAGCGACAGAAGGCGCAGAAGGTGGCAGCTAGGCGCCTGTAAAGGAGCCACAGTGAAACACAAGTTCCATGAGCCCGCGAGTCCTGTTGTTCTGTTGGATCCTGCTGTTGATTGAGGAGTTTCTGTTTCCTTTTTTTGGGGCATGTTGCAGAGAACCAAAGAGAGCCAGAGAGCCTGAACCTATCAGCCGCAGGTGTCCTTTTTGTTTTAGTGTGGTTAAACATAGAAGGCACTGGTTTAGATGGTTTTCTTCCATTTACCAGGGGAGCCCATCTACTTTTTCAAAAGGACACCTATGCTATCGGCCCTGTCGGCCCCACCGGGCGCGCGGCGCGACGCGGGGGGCGAGTCGCGGGTCCGCAGACTGCGAGTCATTCGCCCAGGGCCGCCCCAGGAGATGGCCGAGAAGTCGCTAGCGGCGCTGCCACCAAGCGCGCGGAGGGCCAAGCTGCCGGCAGTGAAGGCGGGCATCCTGCGGAGGCGCGGGGTGGGCGGAAGGGCGGAAGGGCGGGCGACCGCAGAAGGGTTGGAGTCTGATTCTGGTGGGGGTTCAGGTTTTGGCTATGAAAGGGCCCTGCTTGGCTGCCGTTTATCTAGCGACCGCTTTGTGGGGACTGCCCAATTCGCCTTCGCCTCGCCCAGGCTCCTGAGCCAGGCCCGCCACGACGAGCCCACCGCCAGTGCGACGCCGGTGGGGCCCCCAGCATTTGATGCCGGTGATTTGTGGCTTCCGAGCTTCGCTTGGTGCATCGATGTTGGCTTCGCTGGTTTGCATTTCTGACTTGAATCCAGCAGGGGACCAGTGATGGGTGGCATTTGGCCAGTCATTTTTGTTCAAACCAACCGGGGACGGGTGATCCGTGGCTGTTGATGCATGGTCTCCCACGCATTCAGAAGTTTTGCCGGGCATGAGACACCGAAGCCAGAGATCCAGGCGAAAGCTGCGAGCGCCGACCCGGCCAGCGCCGGCCCGCCGGGCGCGGCGCCGGCGCCGCCTCAGCCGGATAGCTTTGCTGATGCTTTTGGCCAGCCCAGAGAGAGGGGGTCGACAAGGGGATCTGAACGGAAGCTTTCTGTGAACAGCAGATAATCTTTCCCACTTGATTGAGCTGGCCTTCTTCTGGTGCTTCTCCACTTTGGTCAATCCTTTTTGTCGATCGGAATGAAAGAACTGCGAAAAGGATCAAGATGGATGCTCATCATAATCTTGAGAGTGACGAAGTCCATTCATAATCTCCGCCGCGTAGATCATGGAATCTTCCGTATATGTCAGTGCACATACAGGATTGCAAGACATGGCAAGAGGAACTTGCCCTGTTATCCCATTAAGGCATTATGAACTTACCCTGTTATCCCTTTATCCCATTGGTCAAAGACCAAAGCCATAAGGCGTTCAGGTATCATGGATGCTCAGTCCAGCCAAGGAAACCAGGCACACCCCCGACATCGCACGTCGGACAGGTGACGATGAGGAGCTGGAGAGGCTGCGGTGCACGCTGCGGCGACCACCCACTGAGCTGCCCCCGCCGCAGGCGAAGGGGACCTCACCCCAAATGGCAAAAGGGGGGGGACGAATTGGGGCAGTTACTGCTTCTTCCCTTTGGCGTGGTCCAGCCTTTTTTTAGTAGTTTCTTTTTAGGCAGATGTGCCTTTAAACAGGAGTCAGCGCCAAAAAAGGGCCGTCCTTGTTTCCCAAATAAACCGCAAGCTTACCAAAGGATGTTTAGAAGGAACTTCTGTGTTTTTGGCAGAGCAAGAGAAAGAGCAAAGAGAAAAGGTACCGACACTATAGGTTGTATATTTTTGAAGCTTCCGGCAACCGGCATCGCCGGCTCTATTGGGAAAGTGTACAAAACAAATCTGGACTTGTCCTGAACTCTCGACCTAGCTCCACAGTCTGATCAACTCTATGGACGCTTCTGCCACAACTTGCATCATATGACAGAGACTCGTGCCGAGTTTCGGGCATTGCAATTGAACAAACCACAGAGAGTTGCGCTGTTCCACCTGGGAAACAGGACGCAGGGTTCGGGAGAATCAAGGTTTGAACGCTCCTCATCAGGGTGCAAGCAGTGCTTTCTTCATTAATGCTGGTGACGTCGACCCAGTTAGTTTGTGGACCAGTGCGCCAGTTGCTCTTAGTCAACGTGAAGCAGTTTTCTCCACTAAAACGCCCGCTCCAGGACGGCGTGGAAGCCTTCGGCCTCTTGGCAGAAGTGAAGCGCTTGTGCGGTGCAAAGCAGGGTCACGCTCGACAGCAGATTCGAGCAGAGCGGAATCACATTCGCAGAGAACTGCAGAAGAAATATAATTAATCTGGTTCCATTGCATCCAGCACAGAGGAGGAGGATGAGGAGCCGCAGTAATCATCCTTCAAACAGGCAAGGAGGTGCAATCAGCACGGTGATAGCCCTTAAATGACTGCAACAGGGAAGGGGCATGTTCTTGTAGGGTGTTTTGCATGCGGCGTTGTTGACAAACCCGACCTGTCCTTCCAAAGACGGCCCTTTTCTCCAAAACAAATCGGGCTGCTCTCGGGCCTTTCCGGGCCTTCAGGCGACGAGCCCTGGTTCGCGGAGCCCAAAGTGCGGCAGGCGCTGGAGGAAGCGGTGGAGGCGGCCCACGGGAGCTTCAAGATCCTGGCCGCAGCCTTGGCAACGAGCCGAGCCGAGCGAGCCGCGTTGGGGCGTTTCGAAGGGGGGGGGGCGGTTTTTCCCAGCTGAGCGTGCTCCAAACCCGGGTAAGTGAAGGTTAGCAAGGAACAGTCCCAGCCATAAATGGCTGCGGATATCCGCCTTCTTGATTCTTGAAGCATGGTTCTGGGTTCACCATTTTAGTGCCAGGTTTTGATTGTGGCACACCAGAACATGCGCCCTGCCTGTTGGCGTCATTCAAGGGCTAGCGTCGTACTGCTTGTGCCTCCTTCAAACCGATGCTGTAGTCTCTTTTTTTTTCCACGAGTTTGGGGTGTGTGCCACGGTCGATTTTCTCTTGAGTTGGCCAAAGGGCCTTTGAATAGTTGGATTTGGAGTGGGATGGTCAAGCAGGAGCCCTGGCTGCCATGATGTTGGTTCTGTAAGCCCAAAACCCTCACTGCTGCGAGGCATCCTGTGGTGCTCTGTGGTTTGAGGATGCTCAGTTTTGGGGATGACTCTCGTGATTCAGGTCGGGGATCCTGGGGAGGAGATTGCCAGGACGGGCCATGTGGGGTCAGAACAGTCCTTGGACAGTGGCCGTGATCGGGCGAAGGCTTTCAGGGAGAAGTCACGGTCGTGCAGTGACCAATGGGAACCAGTCGCACAACTTTAGCGTGCCAAGACCCGCATGTCGAAATCATTTCGGAAACCTCAAGCCCTTGGTGGCTTTTGCATATTCCCTCAGTCTTCTTTTGGGAGCGTTTGCGCATCCCTCGGTTTTTTCTCCCCATTTTTTTGGGGGGGGCGTCCCAGAGCACATCTTGGGGGAGCCTGAGCTGAGCGAAGCCGACGGAAGCGGAGGATCTGCCCCTCCAACAAAGCCACGCCGCTGCCGGGCGCGGTGCTGCGTCTGGGCGGTGCCCACCTCGGAGGCTTCGGGGAGCCGGACATCGCCTACGCCTTCCGCGGCTCGGCGGGCTGGGCGGGGTGGCGGGTGGCTGGGGGGGGGGTGCCTGTCAACAAGGGCGTGCACACGTAAAAACGTGGGCCCTAAATGATGGCCGGAAGAAAAGAGGTGTTGATGCCAAGTTTGAAGTGCAAGACATGGGTTTTGAGATTGTTTTTGGCCTGGGCTGGACATTTGACCGCATTGTTTTGTTCTTGGAACCGGGGCGCGTAGGCGACGGGGTGCTTCGGGCTTGTTCAATCAAGCTTGTCATCTCGTTTCTTGGTGCTTGCTGTAAGCGGCCCGTCAAGCCTTGCTTCTCATCACCCGACAACATTTGGTTCTCAAGTTTCGCTGTGGAGGTTGGTCCAATCTCATGCCGGGAGATGCCGAGGGCAACTCTCGAGAGCCTTGCACCCGGACAAAAACCCGGACAACCCGGATGCAGGCCGGGCTCGAGGGGGAAGCGCGGCGAATCGAGGCACGCGAAGAGCTTTGCACTGTTTTTGATCTGGGCGCTTCCATTAAGGCTTTGCTCCAATGCTGCAAACTGCTGGGTTTGCGACCGACTGCATAAGCAGCCTGATGTGTATCCAGCAAGGAAGCACGATTTAGTTGGCCACCGAGGGGAAATTCGCCTTTCCCATGAAGGGGAACTGCCTTTTGGTATCATGGACCCTCTCCATGGCATGATCAAGTTTGCCCGCTAGGCGACGCCTTCAAGCGCCTCAAGGAAGCGCAGGATGAGCTAAAGCAGAGCTGCTTGGATGTGGGCCATCTGGAGGGAACCTTCAAGAGGGTTTTTGGGTTGTCCCTCTCTCAGAAACCAGGGGTTTAAACAGGGCGGCGCCTGCACAAAGCCGATTTGCATCCCTTCATACCCCAGGAAGAATGTCAAGAGCATTGGACGCGACATAATTTTCATCACAACATGGGTCACTCTGATTCACAGCGACAAATACAAACCGGTCCTTGCCGCCAGAAAGTGCGTCCATCGCTCTTGACCTCTCCCTGTCCCCAGCTCCGGATTTGTCTCGTTTTGAGGGCATCCCGAGAGTTTTTGAAAACCGGGGCCAACAAAAAAACAATAGACATCTCCCTCAATTTGCTGAAGTTCCGTGGACGAAACGGCGCATATTTCCAGTATACTGTGATAGTTGTTTTTTCTTTTTCTTTCCGCCGACCTTCTGGTTTTTGAGGCTTGGATGCCTCCCGTGCACTTCAGCGGCGTTTGGCAGCCCCATTCCCCCTCCGCGCGGCAGGCACGCCCAAGCAAACCGCCGAACGTTGACCCCATATTGATCAACCCCAGTTGATATTTTTTTGGGGGGGTGTACTTGGTAGTTTTGCCAAAGGGAACACCTTTCCCTTAATAACCTCTGGGGTGAACACATTGCAAGGGACAGATGCACCATGGAGTCTGTGTCCACGGGGCGAGGGGCGAGGGGGGGCAGGCGAGCTGAAGCGGCCCCAGAGCGCCCTCTTCGCGGAGGCCTCGCGGCTGCTGGGCGCAGTGCTGGCGCTGAAGGGCCAAGGCCAGACCCGGAGGTTTCAACCGAAAGAAAAGAAGCTTCGCCACTTCTGGTTTCAAGGAGAAGGGCCACTAAGCCACTTACGTGTCCTTCTTGCTTGGACACCTACTGTTGGGGTGCGGTATCCAGAAATCGCACCACCCTTCAGAAACCCTGTGGAAAAGGGGCTTAGCCACTTCTGGAGGTTTTTGGACACGTATCTCGTAGGTTATCCATGCAAAAAGCAAATGACAGTTGGTTGTGTCTACATCCAAAAGTTTGCACTAGAGGTCCTTTTTGTCCTTGGACACCTGTGTCGCGTGAAAGTTGTTTGTGTCTAAATCCAAAAGGTTTGCACTGGTGTCTTTTTCGAGATGCTATTTGGGGATGGGTCAAAATTAAACCACCAATAAACCGCAGGTTTTAGTCCATGTTGTTACCCTATTTTTGACAACCACACCCATTGGTTCCTTTTCGCTTTTGTTTGTAGCGACGCCTTGGGGCACCACGCATTTGGATGTGGGTCAAAATTAACCCGCCAGAAACCGCAGATTCCTAGCCCCTTGTTTCCATTACTAGGGCAACCCATTTTATGCACATCTTTTTGACCCACACCCATTTGGATGTGGGGCCAGGCTGGGTGCCTCGCGCGGCGCAGCAGCGGGCGCAGACCTGCCTCCGCCGGGGGTCCCGGGCATGGCGAGCTCACCGATTCCTGGGGGCTAAAACGAGCAAAGCTTTCGCTTGGGGCTTCCCTTTTTGCCAGGTTTTGGACATATGGTAAAATTTGGAAGGTTGGAAGGGCGGGTCCTTTTACTTGGGGATCCAGGTTTTGGAATTCTTACTATTGGCCAGTGGCTTGCAGAAGGCTGGCTAGATGTTTTGTGCGGAGGCCAGTCTCCCGCTTTGGGTAAGACTTCAAAGTTGGTTTCCAGGTACAGTCGGTGCCTCAAAGGCCTCGGTGATGCCAAGCCGGCAAGCACCTGAGTCCAACTCCGAATCGGTGCTGCGATCTTGCTGGTGTTCGGAATTCCTAATAGCAACATTGGTGAACGAGGCAAGAGTGGTTGATCGATCCTTGGGGCAGAATCACCAGACCATCTCCCAGACCTCCCCCAGATCATCTCCCATACCATGTCCCAGTTCATCCCCCCCAACCCCCCCCCCCCACAGACCATCCAAATCCCCGCCCCGGACCATCCCCGGACCATCCCCCCCATCCATCCTGCAACTGGTCTCGCCCCATCGCAACATCCGCCGCGGCCAGGTCTGCCGGAGCGCGGGGGCTGGGCGCAGCCCGAGGCCGCGCCGGAGCACTTCGTGCGGGGCTGGCTGGCGGAGAGTGGGGAGCTGCTGGAGGCGCGCCCCCGCCTGTGTCGGCTGTGTTCTCACCGATCCTTTGGGGTAAGACAAGCTGAAGCCATGGCAGAGGTGCTGTTACTTGGGAGCTTCCCTTTTTTCAGGTTTTGTGAAATATGGTAAACAAATTGCAGATGTGTTGGATGTGTCGGATGTGACGGGTGTGCGATGTAAGCTCCCTTCGTGAGATTCCACATTTGCGAAAACATGTCGAGATGTTCAGGTTGGCAGTCTTCGCCCCTGTGAATTTGGACCATTCAATTTGGCGATGGCGATGCCTCGAGGCGATGGCGCAGCCAGCTCTGCGACACTTGGTGGAAGAGGGAGGGGCGGGTGCACGTGCACGGCTTCGCCAGAGATCCGAGACTCAGTTGCCAAGAGGCGCGCGGCGCGTGGCACACACCAACCAATCGACATGACTATGGCGTGATTGGAGAAACCGGCGAAAAAGGCCGAGGTCCGGGTCTATTGGTACAGGGTGATCCACGGAATGGTTTTGAACCGTACTGTGGATGGACGAAATTGTGCACCACCCAAGAAACCCTGGAATGATATGATTCCCCTGTAAATACCAGCAACCGTTATGGTTTCCGCATGGCTTTAAAGTGGTGCGAAGTGGATTTTGTCCATCCACAGTACGGGCCCAGGTAGCTCCTATGACTGCGCGCCCAAGCGCTATCGCGCGCACTTCCTCTGCCTGCTGGCCAGAGCCGCGCCGCTCGAAGCGAAAGGCAGTCGGACAACTGGGTATGGGTCAAAATGAAACCACCAGGAATTGGACCGCAGGTTTTGGTCCATGTTTCCATTTACCAGGGTTTCATTTTGGGCACCTATTTTAGACCCATTGCCAACTGGCTTTCATGTTGCACAGTGCGATGTGGGTGCTGTTACAGCCACCAAATGGTCTACAACCCGCTGGCTGTTACGGCCACAAGGTCTACATCCTACTCACAGGCTTGCATTCCACCTCCAACAAAGAAGTGACTGGCCCGAGGCAGATTGAGAGTGACAGCAGCGACGGCTGCGTGCGCCGGCAGTGGAGCAAGGCCGGGTCAGCGCGCAACTCTTTCTTTTCTTTTTTCCGCTTGACATGTCCACCACTGCCAGAGATCAGTTTTTCTACATGCCCGGGCCGTTTGAAACATTCCTGTTATGGCAACGTTAAGAATGATCGACTTGGCCAACAGCTGAGACTTCGCCGTGGTTGGTCGGTCCTTTGTTGGATGTTTGCCGCTCCTCAGATCTGGGAGACCTACCCCGAGATCCAACTCTGGCAGCAGCTGCGGCCGCGGACCCAGGGGCCTAGGGTTTTTGCTTGGGAGGCTGTGCGGGTGGTTCAAGAGTGCGTCTGGTTCTTGGAGGGTGGCCTTCTTGAGTAGTTTGGTTCAAACCAATGGTACCATTTTGGGATAGGTGAATTCACCACCCATTTTAGGACCTATTTTAGTGGTTGGATTGGGTCCCGTTCACTGGGGACTACCGATTTGGGTTTTGGCCCATGGCCGTTGAACTACGCTCCCTGGAAGCTTTGCACTACTGTGGATGGACGAAATCCACTTCGCACCACTTGGAAACCATGGTTGAAACCACTATTTGTTGGGATTTACAGGAGAATCAAATCCGAATCCAGGGTTCCTGAGGTGGTGCGGTTTATGGATTTCGCAGCCATGCACAGCATAAGCCGCTTTTGGGTCCCAGGCAGCTGATCCTCAAGAAGCGGCAAGTCCATGGACGACAGCCCAAGCGTGCGCCAAAGCGTGCGTTAAGAAAGGGGAAGTGGACGAAATCTTGCACCTAAGAGACCATGGACAACCCACTGCTTGTTGGTGTTTACAGGGGAATCAAATGAATCATTTGAATCATTTGAGGGTTTCTGACCGGGCCGAGTTCTGGATTTCGCACCCACGGTATCACAGCATACGGCACGTTTGCCACTTACTCGAATTCCAGCTACTTGCCGCCAGTCGAATTCCAGGTCATCGGTCGGCCTTGCATCGGTCGGCCTCGGGCCTCAGACTTCACTGAGTCGGGCCCACTGAGTCGTTGCCAGGGGACGCGGCGGGGAATGCCAAGATGGCGGACCAGGACTGGTCCAGCTGGTCGAAGCGCCGCTCGGCCGCGAAGCGACCGGTCGGTTCGTCGGTTCGCGTCGTTCGGGAGGGTGTGGCTGTGGCTCAAAATGGGAACCCCCAAAATGGGACCTTGGTAATATGGAAACAAAACTTGAACCTGCGTCACCCCAGCTGTTTCATTTTGAGCCACAGACTACTCCTGGTTTGGTCTTTGCTCCCGGTCGGGTGCCTGCCCAATTAACAGGGAACCTGAGGTTCGGGGGTTCCTTTAAAAGGAACAGGGTCTTCCAGAAGCCCCGTGTTCCATGTTAGCCGGTGGTAGGGCAATACTGTGGATGGACGAAATCCTGCACCACCTAAGAATCCCTGGAAGGATGATTCCCCCGTAAATACCGACCAACAGTGGTTTCAACCATGGTTTCAAAGTGGTGCGCCATGGATTTCGTCCATCCACCGTAGCCCTTCCTTTGCTTTTCATCCTACCGGTCATTGCAATGGCTGGCCCTCTCGGCGAAAAGCCGTCTGACGATCTCTTTCTGGCCATCGCCCCAAAACCCACCCCCAGACCCATGAAGAGTTCTAACTCGTTCCACTCTCGGCCGCAGCCGCGAAGCCTCGTGAGGTGTTTCGGTTTTCGGCCTTGAGCTGAGGTTGGCGGAAGCTGATCAGCGCAGTGCTGCCCGGCGGAGAAGACGAGGAGATGGGTGGGTTGGGTCCGGGGGGTCCCGATATGGCCGTGGGTCAAAACCAATGGGATCCCATTTTGGGGTAGGTGCACCACCCATTTTAGTCTATTTTAGTGGGGATTGGGATGTTCACTGGGGTACGGGGTTTGGACCCATGGCCATATTTCCCTTTGTGGTGGTTTTAAACATCACCTCTTTGGCCCATGAAAGCTGAGCGTTTTGTTGGTGGGAAACTGGCCGGGGAATTCTTGGTCTCGGAGAATGTGGATGCTTCGCTCTGCGAACTCATTTTGCCTTGCCTTTGAGCAATCAAACTAGCCACCCTAAAAGGAATCTGCTCTCCTCATTTCACCACATGGGCATTACTTCACATACTGTGGATGGACGAAATCCATTTCGCACCACCTAAGAAACCCCAGAATGATGAATCCCCTGTAAATACCCATGAACAATGGTTTCAACCATGGTTTCCAAGTGGTGCGGTTTGTGGATTTCGTCCATCCACCGTATGGACTCGGAGCCCCTTCCCTTCGCATTTGGGCGAGGCCTTGGGAGCCTTGGGAAGTTGCGGCAGGCGGCGCCCTGGTCGGACCCCGAGCTGCGGAAGCTCTGCGCGGCGCTGTGGCGGGACTTTGCAGACCCCCTGGAGAGCCTCAGCGCGCGGCGGGTGGGATGGGTGGGATGGGTGGGATGGGCTGGGGAGTTTGATGGCTCAGCATTCCGATGGAAAGCATACGAGGTTGTATTTGTGCAGGTTCATCCAGGCTGAAGCTGCGCGTGTGATCTGTCCGGGGCTTTTCTACATCCGCCCTCAGGAAGGATGAGGGTGAGGATGGCGAGTTGGCCAGGCTGGAGTCTGGCGCCAATTGCCAGTCTTTGGTTGTCTTCCTCTTCGTCGCACTTGACATCTCTTTGGGTGATCGGGGGTTTCCTAGCGTCATTATTTTGAGGGTTTCTGGCGGTTATCAAAGTCACAAAATGGGGGTGTTTCCCTTTAACCCACCACGTACGGGGGTGACTTTGATCATGGTAAGGTAATCAGGCCAGCATGATGTCCACCAAAAAGTCCCCCTTGCAAATTCCCCCTCCCCAGTCCAAAAGTGTGGGTTCTGCACTCAAACATACTCAAACCAACCAGGAGTTCAAAACCCCCCAGCCACTGACCCAAAGAGCCAAGTAGGTTTCTAGGTTTGCCTCTAGTTGGTCTGGGTGGCGGGCGGCAAGAACTCTCCGCGCAGGCGCTGCCTGATGCTCTTCCGCGCGGAGAGCCGTGGGGCGGCCGACGAGCCTCGGAAATTTTGGGGCGAGGATGGGCCCCCGCAAAACTAGCTTTCGAAAGAGCCGCATAGGTGTCCTTTTTGGTTGTTTTGGCAAAATAATAGATGGCCCTGGTAATTCCAGGTTTACTCATCTACCAGGGAAATCCATCCTTCTTCCCTCCAACAGGACACCTATGCAGAGCCGGGTTTCTGTGATGCCTCATTTGCAGCTGTGACATGGGTGTGGCTCAAACACAACCCCAAAATGGCGGCAAGCCCTGGCGAATTGATTGGGTTTCGGAATAAAAACATCTCCGACAGGTACCCCTGGCTTGACTCAGACCCATATCCAACATGTGGCTGTGGGTCCAAACCACTGGTACCATTTTAAGATAGGTGAATTCACCAGCCATAGGACCTATTTTAGTGGTATTGGTTGATCTTGGGATTACCGATTTGGGTTTTGAAAAGCCCATGGCCATAAAAACTCCGACGAAGACCGGAAGGGACGACCAGTCCGATGGGCGAGCGGCGAGCTCAGGTGGAGCAGCAGCGGGGCGCCGCACCGGCGGAGTGGGCCTTCGTGCCGGCCGCGGACCTGCTGTTGCTGGTGGGGGAAGGACGGGCCGGCGAGGGCTTCACGGCGGCTGGGGTGACGGGGGTTCTTGGATTTGCATTTTCGCAGGCTGAGGGGTTAAGATGTTTGTTTCGGGGTGGCCTTTTTTTTGGGGTGGCAATTTGTTTTCATTGAGTCATTGAGTATCAAATGAGGATGGGATCATTCAAGTTGAGCAACCCTGGCGGGTTGCAGGAAGTGGCATGGCCTGTGGCGTTCGTAGCATGTTGACATTTTCCGCAAACATGTGAAGCAGAGAAGCAGGAGGGGTCTTGGGTCTAGCTTGTTTTGCGTGTGGCAACTTTTGAGCAAGTTGGTGCTTGAATCTAGATATACCTCACACATCATCAACAAAGACACCCAGACAAATCGATTTCCTTTCTGCGGGCCTCGATCGACAAAGAGGTGTTTGGGCCGGCCCACCATGTGGGCCTAATGAAGCGCAGAAAGAATGAGGCGATTCCACTAACAAAACCCCCCCCCCCCCACCCCCACCCCCAACCCAATCTAGTTTGTGGTGCAGTTGATCAGTCTGTCGGAATTTCCCTAAGGTCCTACACCCCCCCTCCACCCCCCCTTCCCCTCAACTCCCCAAGGTCCTCCCCGTCCCTCCACCTCACTCCCCCCAAACCCCAGCGCGAGGCTTGGTGGGCGTCACCGTGGAAGGGGTCTTTGTGAGGGCGAAGGGCCGCCTGCCCTTCGCCTCCGCCATCTTTCAGACCATGATGTGAAGAAAAAAAATCCACGCGTCGGCACGGGCCAAGCAGCAGATTCGTCGATTCGCCGCAGATTCGTTGGCAGTTTGCTTGAGGATTAGCCGCAGATTCGTTTGCTGTTTGTCTGAGGCAGGCACAGTTTGCTTGAGGAAGGTGTTCTGGTTTTTCATGGAAATCCCGGTGGCTCTCCGTGCGTAGCTTGTGCCTATCGGCACGGTTCAGTGCGCTACACGAGTTACGGAGGGATTTGTTCTACCATATGTTTTTGTGGTGCAGGCTCCTCTCACCTGGTGCTGTATTCTTGGATGCTGGAGCCGAAATGCCAACATGACGTGCGGGTGGGAAGAATCTTCCTTCTTTCTCAGTCGGAAGGCCAGGCACTGCGGTGAAGTCCGGCATGCTGTGAATTTCGGATTGCGAGCTTTAAGCCTCATGGCCCGCGACCCTCAAGCATGATATGATTCTCAGCATGCAGGCAGAAGACTTCAACAAAAACGCCCGCAGTACTTTTAGGAATCGTCGCTGCCCGCACCCAAGGGTGTCCCATGAATTTCCCGACCCCGCATGTCGCGATGTCAAACACTCACGGAAGCTCGGCACCGTTCCTTTGGACGACCGCGGCCAAGAGTTCGCTTGGCAAGTCCGCCATGAGCGTGACAGAGCCTGAGGCCAGGGGCAAGGGACTGGCGATTGTAGGGAGCTGCGTCTGCGAGGTCTTGTAGGGAGCGTCGGTGGAAGAAACATGGTCCTCCAAACAGCTGCTTTCTTTCCCAGCGCTGGTTTCGGTTGTCCTGGTGCGGCCATCGGGGACAAGCTGAAAAACTGAATCTGAAGGAGCACGTGCATGTTGGAAAAGGCGGGGGACTGCAATCCATTTCCTTTTTTGAGTGTGGCAGCTCCGATCTGGGTTGACAGATCCAAGGCGCACCAGTGATGTGCCCAGAGTGGTGCATTGAAGCTATGCCAAGATGTTCTAATCTGCCCTCATTGATTGACTGAGCATGCTTCCACTTCCTTCCAATTCCTGCCACTTCCCATGCCGATTCTCCCTCACCGTGTTTGCCACGCTGCTTTTCCCCGGGGCGTTTGCCCCCATGGCCCACCACAGGCGGATGTCGGGGCCCCAATCGGCACATCTCTGGGCAAAGGTCGGCGACGCGGCAGACGACTTTGGGACATTGGAGTAATGGGACAATCCAATTGCCATGGGTGCGGAGATTTGGGCCCTGAAGGGGGTTCTTGAAGCATGGTTCTGGGTAGACTCGATCCTTTTTTTGTTTAAAGCGGGTTTTGAGTACGACGCAAATGCTGCCTTGACGCCCCCCCCCCTTGATGACTTTGACAAAGCAAAGGCGAAGGCCAGTACATGGCATTCGGCGCCTGGAGATCAACAGACCTAATAGTACGTGACCTCAGAAGAACGCCAGAACCATGTGAAAGCTGCAATCTTGTAGCACCACCTTTCAACATGGAGCGTTGAGACAAAAGTGGTAAGGTTGTGGGGTACTTCTCTGCTTGCTGACGGCTCCATCATGGATCCCCAGCACACATCAGATTGTTTCATGTTACCTAGTTTTGCTTTTGAAGGAGCAGAGTTCTGCCTTCGGCCCAAGCTGATGCCCAGTTGCCCTTGCCCGCTCGTGCCGCAGCTTTGAGCTATCTCAGCTTTAGCACATGAAGATGCCCCTGATGCAGGGCCCCTATTCGTTCCATTTGAGGGTATGGCATGGTGCAAGCCTTAAGCCATCAGGTAGAGCCGAAGACTTTCGGTTGAAACACAAGCCATCATGGAGCATTTGGGAAGCACCGTTTGAGCCATACTCAAGACACGGGTGGTTCTTTACATAAAAAAGGGATTACAATCATTTTTTACTACCAGGTTTGGATTGTGATTCATTTGGCTCCATGTCCCATGGCTGGAGTGCTGCGGTTGGCCAATGGCGAGGCGGTGCGGAGCGACCTGGCAGACGGGATCGAAGGTGGCCCTTGTTGGCTTTCTCTTAACATATTTCAGCGGGTTGGGGGGGTTCGGTTTTCTGTCGATCTTTCTGTGCCTGTCTCGAAACCGGCTTGGCAGGGTCGCCATTTCATGCGCCGGACGGCTCGCTATCTCTTCTGAACCTGGCCAGGGGTTCAGGTTCTCCCTCCTTAACGGCCAAACCTCCAAGCTGAAGAAGCTGAGGTGTGGTGCAGGTGTCACCAACAGATTGCCCACCCGGACAGGCCCACGGAGATCTCCGTGGGCGTTTTCTTTTTCTTCTTCCCGCGCGCCCAGCGGCCGAGGCTACCTCTTGGGCCGCTGGGCAGTGACCAAGAGCTTCGACTACCGCCGCGGAGGCGCGGCCGGCGCTCGGGGCGCTTGGGCCGCTTTTGAGGTCTTTGTTTCTCATCCGAGGGAAACCACAACGCTTGTTATGGTCGCTTCCATTCGGGGGAAGCCATACAGCTTTTTTGTTCCTCCTTTTTTTTTTCCTGTTTTTTTTCCTTTATCTTCTTCTTTTTACAACAGAAGCAGAAGCCAGGGTTTCTGAAACGCTGCGAAACGGATTTCACGTTTGTAACAGGTTCCAACGCCAACTCAAGCTCCTCTAACACCAGAGTTCCAACACCAAAGTTCCAACACCTGTCTGTTTTCCGTGGTTTCAAGCCAACGTAAATTGATACCCTCCCACCAACTAATATGGAAGTGCAAACAGGCCCTTTCCAAGAGGAAAGTAGTCTTTCTGCAGGGGTCTGTGCACTTTCATGTTAGCTGGTGGGAGGGTACTGGTAAAAGTCTACGGCCCCGAAGAGGTTTGGTCCCCGATTCGAGCCCGGTCCCTGTCTGTCCGCCGGCCTTTCGACTCGCTCGAGGCGGCCGCGGGGAGTTGCAGGGCTTCGCCACCTTCACGGAGACGCCGCTGAGCGGTGTCGGGGGCGCCCAGGTTTTTCGGCAAGAGGACACCGGAAGGAACGGCTGATGTCAAGGGGGCCAGAGCAACCCGAGTGCTTCCAGAAGCTTTCGGTGCCTGATTCAGGCGTCTCCGTAACTGGCTAGACATTCTCACAGCCGAAAGCCCCTCCAAGAAAGGCACAAATGTGTCACTGGGGCAAAAGTGGTTCAGAGGACCTAAGATTCAAACGGGCCAAGCAATTCTTCGGTTAAGGCTGGCAATGAAAGAGATTTCGGAGCCGGACGTATTCAATGTGTGGAAGCTCCAAGGCAATTGCAAAACAAGACAACAAAGAACAACAATGAGCGGAGTTTATCAGCGGACCTCGGGAGGCAGTTGTCAGCTAGAAGGCAAGTCAAAAAAGACAAGCACTTCAATGGAACCTTAACGTACTCGGGCTTTGACTCTAGCTCAAACCACACCTCCCCCCCCACAAAGACGCTTCTCCCCAGACCGCGACTCGTTTGTTTCTTTCAGACGTTCAGCAAACTGTTTCAGCAAACTTGCTGGTGCTCAGTAGGCAATGTGGGAATCAACCCAGAAATTCCCTTCAAGGAAGCCACAAGGGATGGTCTGTCGCCCATTGCAGACGAGTCCGCCGAGATGCCAACAGGTGCTCATGTACGAGGAGCGGGGTGACATGCAACTGGAGGGGCTTCCCCGGCCGGTAGAGGCGCGCATCCGGACCAGAGGATGGGGCTTCAGGTGAGGGAGGAGATCGGCAGAATGGGCGGAGGTTCCGAAGCTGGCCGTTCCAACTTCGGGTCGCTGGATGTTTTGGGCCTACCCTGCATGAGACTCAGGGGGAACACTTTGTTGCAAGCGGCTCACGTCGTGGCATGCTGAGCCGCGATCGAATAAAGTAGAAAGCCAGCTGTCAAAGCTAGACCGTTAAATAACAAGACATGTTAGGGGGGGCAGATGGCCATGGCATGTGCGAGGCTTATCGCCTCTACTGCTTCAACACCAGCAAATGGCCCGTGGAGGCATGGGAGATAGGGAGGGGGGAGGACATGAATTACTCTCGAGACCGTTTCTTTTTTGGGTTGAACTTCGTTACCTAGTTGAACACCTATCCAGTGTACGGGGTGTTTTTGGTGCCAACCGCGCGAGGGGGTCATGGTTTTTCGTATATCATCAAGATCCGGCGTTTTCTTGGGCAGTTGCGAGGAGCGCTCAAGTGCATTCGCATCCTTGGAGGAAGATGTGGCCATGGGTCAACATCCCGTACCCCCAGTGAACATCCCAATTGAACATCCCAATCCCCACTAAAATAGGTTCTAAGATGGGTGGTGAATTCACCTACCCCAGTTTTGACCACCACAGCGGGATTTGTCTCTGGCACTACAGCTGTGATCAACCGCATTGAAGACTCGCGCAGCCTCAAGTTGAGTCTGCTTTGTTTTCACCATGGAGGGGAGAAGAGGTGGGTCATAGAGCAAACAAAATTCATACGGCCGCGGGGCTTTGTGAAAGGCTGCTTCAGAACTTGAAAAGTGTTATGTTCTTGATGGCTGTTCGATGCTTTTGCTGCCATATTTGCAGCTTGCCTCCTATTCTTTGTCCTTGTGCTTTTCCTGCTCGCTTTTGCTCCCTCCACATGGGGCTCCCGTTTCCTCTCACAGGAAAAACCACCGAGTGATGAGTTTATGTCGAACTCATCGACTGCGCAATTCCAAAAACCCGCCGTCACATGCCACGTGAAATTCTCAGACCGTGGCCTTTTCTTGCCAGGTCTATTTCGTGGATGCCGGGGCCTCAGTTGCGGCTCTTTCTTCGCGTAGGCCTGGAATGAGAATGCCTTCGAGGGGTTTTGGGGTTTGGTGGTTTGGTGGCTTGGTGGTTTGGTGGTTTGGTGGTTTGGCGGTTTGGGCTGTTCCCCGAAGCCAAACGAACGAGGAGCTCCCCACAGCTCCAACCGAGAAGTTGTCAGTTCTTCAGCCGCGCTTGCCGCAAGCGCGGCGCTTGCCGCAAGCGCGGCGCTTGCCGCAAGCGCCGCGCTTGCGGCGAGCGAGCTTCTCCCAGGATCCCACGAAGAAGCACCTGGCCTCGCTGCTGCCCGAGCTGCCGGTGCACACCTCCTTCTTCGTGCCTTTACCCTTCGAAGAGGGCGCCGGTGCGGGTCCCGGAGGCAGGGCATGGGGGGTCGGTGGGGTCGGGGGGTGGCTCCCGATTTTTTCCCCCAAATAATTAACAATAATACGAATAATATATATATATATATTAATACATATATATATATATATACATTTTGACTTTGTTGGTTCTCAACATAACCTGTTTTGGCCCAAAGGTGAGCGTCTCTTGGCGGGGGTGATGTTTTTTTTTGGGGGGGGAGATATAGGGAGCTCTGTTTGGTGTGCAGCTGTTGCTTGCGGCTGCCCGAAAGCATGAATCACCCAAGTTGCGAAGTGGGGTGCCCTCAAGCTGAAGGGGCCATCGAGGTGCTGCTGCCACCTTCAACCACCTCTGCGTGGACGATCTGTACAGTCGGGCAGCCAAGAACTAGGGCCACGTCCCAAGCGGAGCGGCCGGACGTGTCAGTGTGCTTGTTGCTCACCTTGTGCAGGCGGGAAGGAGAAGTTCAGTTCAGTTGGCTGGAGAACCAATGAGAAACATCGCAGACTGGGGTTGAGTACTCTAAAAATACTCCCTGTACTTCTGCACTTTTCTCACCACGTGCAGGAGAGAACTCAAAGCATTGATGCAGCATCAGGATCACTGGATCCACACATCATCAGGGCTTGAACTTGTTCATGCTCGCTGGACACTCTTAGTGCACCCTATACACACACATGGCTGTGGGTCAAAAATAGGTACCCAAAATGGAACCTGGCAAGCGTAAACATGGACTAAAAGCTGCGGTCCAATTCCTGGTGGTCTAATTTTGACCCACAGCCACATCTTCTACCTTGGGCTGGCCGCAACTCAAATCATCGAACAGCCGGCCCCGCGACTCAGGCGGGCACCTGCAGGCCGTGTCGCCGCGGAGCTTCGAGTGGAACTGGTCCGTGAAGGGGCCCAACAAGGCGCGGGCGGCTTTTCCGTGAAGTACAAGGAGCCTCACAAAAGTGGGTGTGGCTCAAAATTAACCAGGAGGGGCAAACCGCAGGTTTTGGTCCATGTTTCCACTTACCAGGGTTCCATTTTGGTACCGGATTTTAGAGCCACAGCCAAGTGCCGTGGCGTTCCTTTTTGAGCTTTGCGGCCGGATCATCTCGGATCCATCCGGTACCATGGATGTCGGCCAGGATGGCTCCATCACAGCGAGTTACCAGCGCGTGGAGCCGTGAGTGTTCGGAGAAAAGAGAGAGCGAGCGCGTGGGCGTCATTTGGAGCCCATGGCCACTGGGCTGAGTAGGAAAGAGCGCTCTCGCGCGGTTTGGGAAAGATGACCCTGGCCCCTGGCCATGGATAAACCCCGGTTCCTTTGGGGCATGGCTGACTGAATTTTCCTGGGATTGGTTGCGCATGCGCAAGAGCGTGAGGGGCGGCAACTGCGATTCTGGTCCCTGCAACTCGCTCTGAGGTGGACCCGGGCGACGCAGGCTCGCCTGGTGAAGGGACAGGGAAGCAGATTGGGGCAAGATGTTTCGGCGGGAAGCAACGAACAATTTGTGTTTCAGGAGGGCTCTACGCCTGGACCCCGATGTCTGCCAATGAATTTTTGCTAAGGTGCCTCTTGTCCCGTGTTTTTCGGCTTGCCGACTTGGCTGCCTAGGGCCTCGGCGGAGGTGCGGGTGCACGGGGACAGACAGTGGGGGCAGCCGGGAATGTTGCAAGCGCGCAAATGGGGACACGTGAGGGCACGTGTTGGAACTGGGAACTTTGACTTTTGAAGTCCGACTTAGCAGGTCGGCAAGTTTGAATCGGGCTTCGACAATGACAATGATGCTTGTCTTTGCACTCACAAAACGGGGGGAATGCAAACAGAGATTCTAAAGGAGAAAGTGCCTCTTTCTGCTTTGTTTGGCGTTGCAACTGCGTGGTGCAGGTTTGAAGACTAGGTTCTGATTGCGGCTTCAAGCCACAGTGTGACATGCCGGCACAGACAAAGCTCAGTGCCAGTTGCTTTCCCGTCTGAGGAAGCGAGTTTTCGCCGCAAGCACTGGGGGTGTTTTTGGTGTAAGCGCACTTGCTGGCTTGGCGTACTCCCGGACGGCAACGAATTCATTCCCTCGACTCGGCCTACGTCGGTCTGGAAAAAATCGATCCAGGCGCTGCCTGGATCGCGCCTGGCAGGCGACTCTGCGGGGACATAGGCGTCAGATCTCGAGGGTTCCTTTTTGTTTTCAATAGGAACCCAAACTACTCATTTGGGAGCGAATCTTCGATGTTCGCAAATTCAACTCAACAAACCTATCTCTCCGGTTCCATATGGGTGTGGCTCAAAATTAAACGATCGGAGGGGTTACCAAACCTGCGACCCATGTTTCCACAGGGTTTCATTTTGGAATTCCGGTTATTTGAGCCACAGATTTCCATATGTGAATCAATTCCACAGGTCTTATGTAAGTCCTTGGACTTCAGGATGGGTTCCTCGAAGGTTCCCTCAGACTGCCATGCCCAAGACTGTGGATGGTTGCGAAATACCCATAAACCGCACCACCGTTCAGACACCCTGGTGTCTGATATGACCCCCCCCCCGTAAATACCAAACGTTTTATGGTTGCCGCGCGGGTTCGAAGTGGTGCGGTTTATGGACGTCGCAACCCTCCGCAGGGCCGAGGCCGAGGGGATGCCATTGGCCGAGCCAATTGCTCCGTGGCCAGGTGGAGCAGGAGACGGACTTCGAGAGCCGCGCGGCGCTGGACAGCCACCTGGAGGCCTCCAAAGAGCAGGCGGTGGGAGGGGCGGTGAAGGATGGGCGGGAGGGGCGGTGGGAGGTCGGTCATTTTCAAGAGGACCCAGCCGTTTTGGTTTTTTTTTTGAGAGGGTTGAAGGAAGTCGGGCTCGTTCCATCTTTGTCGCGCATGCGGGGCAAGGGCCCCTTTCTCTGATTCCTAGTGCTCTGTTTCCCTTGGAGTACCCCAGTCAGTAGGTAACACCAGGCATATTCGGTGTCCTTTCAAAGTTCCGTAATGATCTCGGAGCGGAGCGGGCTTCGGGGGTTTCGGCACTTGTGGCCACAAAGTTTGACTCGGGAACGTTTCGTTGAGGAAAGTGGCCTCAAGATCTTTTGTTGTTTTGAGTCCTGGGAACGTTTCGTTGGAAGCCAAGGCCTTCCGATCTTTTGTTTTGAGTCCTGACGGGGAAAACATCGGCACACGACCCGTGTCTCCGTGTCTCCGAGTCCCTTGTCGCCAGGCCATCGCCGAGCTCCGCTGTGACGAGGCTCGTAGCTCGCGCTCGAGGTTGGCCCAGGTGGCTTTCGCGGTTCGGCGTGCGCTTGGTGACACTGAGTGTTTCGCTACGGCCACTTGAGCCACGTGCGCAAAAAAAACGGGTAGACGAAGGTTAGTAAGGGAGAATCCCAGCCAGAAATAGCTGCAGATATCCGCCTTATTAATTCTGTACATGGTTCTGGGTAGACCATTTTTATACCGGGTTTTGATTGTGACTCACTTGTTGCGAGCGAGGTTTGGCGGAGTGACCCACATGTTGCTACTTCCGTCGCAAGCCAAGACGATCCCTTGCAGATGCAGATGCCCCGGAAAAACCGGCGGGTGTCCAGTGAGGAAGATCTGTTGCTGTTCTCAGAGCTCGCCTTCCAGGTCGCTCGGTCCCCGGATCGGACATGTGCGCGCAGTCACTGAGTCGCGTCGCGCCAGGCCCAAGGGTCCGAAGGGTCTCACCTGGATTCGCCGCCGCCTGGCGCCTGGGCCGGACAGTGGGAGGCATTGGCGGAAAGTGCAGCCGCGGACAGACTGCGGATGGTTGTGAAATCATGTTCACGGGTCCGGGATTACCCATAGCCATGTCGCACCGTTCAGAAATTGAATGGAATAATTCGATTTCCCAACGTAAGTAGCAACAACGGTTATGGTTTCAAACCATGGTTTCATTTCGTGGTGCGACATGGATTTCGCAACCATCCACAGTATCTCAGCTCTCTTTGCCAGGGGCTCGCTCGCTATTTGCGCATAGGTCGACTTTCACATTCACACGCCAGCGATGGGCTATAGAAGTCCTGGATTTTCCCACAGAACCACAAGTAATGTTGACCCAGGATGCATAATAAACCCGTCCCACTATTAGGGGTGTTCCCTCTGCGTTCCACTGAGTACGACAGCAAAACCACTCCGCTCAAACCGTGTCCATTCAAAGTGACCTTCTTGCGCGGGTTCGAACCTTCCAGCCAAGATGGCCGAAGACCGGCATGTTAAGCCCGGAATAATGAAAACCCCTGGTTGATTAATAGGGGGGTGTACCCTTTTAGTGGTTGGATGGACACTTGATTCGTTGTTTTCTGGGTCCCGATGACTTGGGGGGTTGCTGGTATAGTGGCAGTTTTGCCTTCTGAAAAATCTCGCCAAGCTCTTTTTTGGGCACCACAGAATATCTTTTCTTGCTGGCGCGATAGGCAGGGAGTGAACGAATGACTTAGAGCGTGTGTAGTTTGGGTTTAGTGCTGGTTTAGGGGGGGTTAGGGATTGGTTTTGGGGTTGCCCTAGGGTGGGTTTAGCGGGGGGGGGGGGTTAGGGTTGGTATAGGGTTTGCTTAGGGGGGGTGGTTTAAGGCTTGTTGGCTTAGAGTGGGTTTGTTTAGAAGTTTCTTTATGGAGTCTTGCTGGTTTAAGGTTTCTTTAGGGTTTCTTTAGGGATTCTTTAGGGTTTGCGGTTTGGTTTTAAGGTTGGTTCTAGCTTCAGTGGCGGTTTAGGGTGGGTTTAGCGTTTAGGGTTGGTTGAGGGTGGTTTTGGGGCCAAATGAGCCACAATCAAAACCCGGCCGCCTTGTTAATTCTTTACATGGTTCTGGGTAGACCATTTTAATTTTGGGTTTTGATCATGACTCAAATTGGAATGCCCCCAGATGAAGCATCCCCAGGAACTCCCCATTCCTGGTAAACCCTGGTGGTTTTTTCCAGGGAATCCCATCAATTCCCCCTAAAAAGACACCTATGGTCTATTTCCAGGGGGCCATCATTCCCGGGCCATCTATCCTCCCCGGGTTCAGGGCCCATTTCTCGTTCCGCGTGCCGAGGCCCAGCTTTCCGCGCGGAGCTCCGCCCGGACATCCGCTCGGCGGAAATCCCGGCGGCCCAAGCTTGCGCCGCGTGGAACCTCAGGGCATCCGGGAGGGTTTTGCTGGAGGTAGCTTTTGAGGTGGGCTTAAAGGAAAGCCAGCAGGAGGTTGGGGACCGCCCTGTTTGGGGTTCCCTCAATTTGGGGTTCAAACGTCTACATGTGCCTGAGTTTCACCTGAAGATGGACTGTGGACCCCTCATACCCACCGTTTCTGAGGGCGTTCCAACCATGAGAATTCGCAGCCGCGTCTCTGCACTCGCGTCGACGCCCTTTGCGCGACACAACTCTCAGGTTGGCGGAGCGCTGTTTTTGTTTTGCGGGGCGGGGGGGGGGGGAGGGGCAGGTTTAAAGATGGCAAACCAGAGCCCCCGTCTTTTTTTCTTCTTCTTCTCCAAATCACCACGTTGCAGTGTCAAGCCGGTCTGAGGTCTGAAGCAGGTTGAGGCTGACGTGGCCTACGGGATTGAGAAGGCGAGCCGGAGCTATGACAGCTGCGTGTGTTTTGATGTGCGATGCTTGCGCCAGTTATGGTACGGTTTGAGGAATCCAACAGTGGACGTCCTGCACCACCGTTCAGGACCCCAAGGGAATGATTCGATTCCCCAACGGAAATACCGGAAAGGTTATGGTTTCAACCACGGTTTCATTTCGTGGTGCGACATGGATTTTCATCCACAGCGCCAGGATTCTGTTGGTTGAAACGAAAATATTGAAGCCCATGGCGCTTGGCTTTTCGTGGTCGAGGAGTGTGGCATCAACGTCTCCAGGGGTAGGGGGCCTTGGCTCGGTGAAAAAACGGGTCCCTTTCGGCGGGCGAGCGGCCCTGCTTTTTGGCGCAAGATCCGGTGTGGCGAATTTCTTGCAATACGCTTGGGGGGTTGCAGCTTTCTTTGGCCAGGGGCACGCCTGGAACGGAGCGGAAGAAGTTTTTTTTTTTTTCGTCTCAGCCACGCTCAGGTGTGGATGTCTTCCGCCTGGTTCTGACGAACCCGCGCCTCGCTGCTGAAGAAATGTTGGCCCTCCCTTGTCGAGGGAGGTTTCAGGTGGCATGACCTGCATGAGGGGTTTGGAACGGTCATAGGCCGGTTCATCATGCAGAGCGAATTCTATTCATGGGACCTTCTTTTTGCATGGCCCCATGGAGCCAGGCGAAGCATGTCAAGTCCTGCCATCCAAGGCAGAGCAGCTTGCGCAGCACCACCCGCGTGTTGCTGGTGTCCGGGGAGGCGCGTCTTGGGCTTTTGGGCGGATCCGAGCGCATTGGCACGAGATGCTACGAGGAGCTACTGTGGATGGTTGCGAAATCCAGAAATCGCGCCACGAAATGAGTTGCCATGGTTGAAACCACTGTTGGTATTTACGGGGGAATCATCCTTCCAGGGATTCTTAGGTGGTGCAGGATTTCGTCTATCCGGACAGCCACCCTCTGACAGCCACCGTAGGTGCTTTTCGAGACCAAAGATGGTACGATCTGCCCAGTGAGCTGTTTGAGGTGCGACTACTTGTGGGCACACGTGACTGCGGCATGAGGCCTTCGTCTTCGCGGCGCCAGGGTGCGGATACCTGGAAGGGCTCGGCACGGGTGGATTGCCGTGGACCCTTTTCAGACCTCGGGGCTCGATCCGCGAAATGCAGCAAAGACCGAGAGCTCCTAAGGCCCCGTGCGTCGCATGCTCCGGTGCAGGTGGGCCGGGGGGGGTTTCGGACATGTGGAAGCATGCAACGGTCTCAGCAGCGCTGCTTCTAGACTCTAGACCCGACCTCACAGTGGCTGGTTTTTCGCAGCCGGCTTTTTCCGCTGAAACCAACAAGCGTGAGACGGATACCCCCCCAAAAAAAAAAACAAAACCAAGCGACCGCAGGCGGAGTCCCAAAGCCCGGTGGCCTGGTCTTCGGAAGTTGCGTGCTTCTCACGGCAAAGAACCTGCCAGAGGTCGTGCTGCGCTGAGCCTCTCAACATCTGCGAATTCTCTTGGTCGATCTTCCGGACACTCATGGTTCGATTTGCGGTTCTGCCCAAGTGCGCTGAGTTGGGGCTGTAGGAGCTCATGTCGCCTCGGGGTCAACCTACATTGGCTTGCAACGATGCGCGGGGGGGCTGGGGGGTGGGGGGTGAAGCAAGACCTTAGCGGCAATGGTTAAACTTTTGGCTTGTCGTGATACAGCGGCATTCGATTTGACTTGGAGTGCATCACATATGTTTGATTTGCAATAAGACAAATTGAGCGTGCACTTTTGGCTCGTACGAAAATCACTGACATTTTGGATAATGTAAACGTTGTACCTTTTGGGTCAAGATAATCCAACTATATCTATACGTGATGAACATCATATCATAAACAGTATACAACTAGCAATACTTTTAAGTGCTGAACATTTTCCCAATTTCAGCGAAGGCTTTTTGGGGCAGCTTGAGAAGCGATTTCAGGCTCATAACTTGCAAATCCCGTGGTCTTGCGACTTGGAAGAGGCGCTTGTGCCCAAAGCCTCCAGCGGAAATTCTGGGCTCATGCCCCAGCAAGCAGTGGCTCGCCTTTTTTTCTTTCTTCTTTTTTCTTCGGATGCGTTGGAGCATGTTTAGAGCAGTTGCCGATGAGTTGCTGTCGCCTTTCCGAGGCTGGATCCAAGTGAACCTGCACTTCTTCCGAGCTGCCGCGCGAGGCGCAAGTTCTGCCAAAAACCTGGAGATTCACAGCTGGCATTTGAAATTCGCAGTCCCATGTTTGAGGCTGCAACGGGTTCATTGGGTTTGATGGGATGGATGGATGGATGGATGGATGGATGGATGGATGGATGGATGGATGGATGGATGGATGGATGGATGGATGGATGGATGGATGGATGGATGGATGGATGGATGGATGGATGGATGGATGGATGGATGGATGGATGGATGGATGGATGGATGGATGGATGGATGGATGGATGGATGGATGGATGGATGGATGGATGGATGGATGGATGGATGCGCATGTTTCCCTCGATACTGGCAGGCCCCTTGCCACAGCGCCTGGGAAGCTTGCCAGTGCTGCATGCGGGGGGCCTCGGAGATGTACTCTTTGGCTGTTGGAGCAGTGCTGTAAATGCGAGGACACACCGTGCTAAGATTTCATGGACGGAGCGGTGCGTGCGTTGGTCATGGTAGGGATGTCTGGATGTTTGGGGAGCAGGGTTGGTGCGTGTGCTCAACGTCGACGCGGATTTTCAGAGAATTTTATGGGCGGACTTTCAGGCTGGGTTACGCGTCTCTCGAGGTTGTGCTGCGCACCTCCGACGGCCTGGAGCAGGATCTTGGGGTTTTGGGCTGGGCAGTCTGACTGAAACGTTGGGATCTTTTCGGCTTGACGGCCTCTGGCGAAGAAAGAAAAGTCACCTAGAGCCTACACCCATCAATCCAGAAAGGGGAGGTTCCCAATTGGTGAGCAAAGCTTAGTCATGCAACTGAACTGGGCCAGAGCATGCAGCGTGCCCATATCCATCAATCCAGGCAGGTTCCCACAAAGGGCCCCATATTTCCCATTGTGGCGATTTTTTTTTTTTTTTTTTTTTTTTTTTTTTTAACATCACCTTTCCGGCACCATGAAAGGTGAGTGTTGTTTTGGTGTGTCCCTTGGTGGCGATGCTTTTTACGGGGAAAAAAAAGGCGGAGTCGCTGTCCCATCGATCCCCTTCAGAACTGGCGAGGCACGCGTTCAAAGATCCGGGCTCCACAGCTCGGCCGCCTTCGTCTCGGAAAATCCGTGCCAGGCCATGGAGTTTGTGGGGGTTCATCAGCGGTGGGCGAGCCCAGGTTCCGGGCTGGTTCCGGTCGAGTTCCACCCGAAACCTCCGGCGGCGCGAGAGGATCTCGGGGCGCGGGGCAAAAGTGGACGGACTCCAAAAGTAGAGACGACCAAACTTGAGCTTTTTTAGCCTCCGCCCGATCCATCATTGTGTTTTGTCCATGCTGGGATGGTTTGCGAAGGTGACTCCATGTCCTGATGGGGGAGGCGAGGTTGGAACTAAATGCAGCTCGCCTGAAAGCCTTGTCACAGACTGTTCAAAGGCCGGTCGGGAGCTGCGCAGAGTACCTCGAATGTCAGCAGGGCTGTGAAGAGCTTGTCTGAGCAACAGAAAATATGGTCCAGTGTCATTGCATGTTGCCAGATACACGTCACGTTGCGAAGCGTGTTCGGTTTCTGAGTTGATGTTTGCGCTAGATTCTAGTCAAGCAAATCCTTTGCTGAGGAAATTGTGAACTGGTGTTTGGCCTCACTTTCCAGTACTTCCGACTGAATGTCGAACAGTAATCCAACCCCAGTTTTTTTTAGTAGAAAAAGGTGATCCCCTCGAAAAGTCTGATTCAAACTGATTCAAACCACTAAACCCAGAGTTGGACACCCTATTCATAAATTGGTTGGTTGATGAACATCTGGGGTCAACAAATTCACCAAGCTCACCAAGCCCACCAAGCCCCGGGACCCTACTAACAAGCTGGGGTTGATGAATAAACGGCCTCGGGTCAACACCGTTTTGGGATCCCATTTTGGTTGCTAGGTGCCTATCTTAGTGGTTGGATTGGGTCCAAAAGTTCACTGGTACGATTTGGGTTTTGACCCATGGCCAAATTGGTCGGGTCTACGGAACCCTCCGAGGCGCTACCTGGCGGAGGACGTGGCCACGGACGCGATCTCCCAGCACTTGGCGCGGGATGTTGCGAAAGGTAAGGGGCATGGATTTTTTTGAGGCAAATGTCCACAAAGGGTTCCCAAAGCAAATCAACCAGGGACCAAGGGCAGGCCGATACAAGTTTTTCCTAATCGAGCGTCGCACCAACTGTGAGCCGTTTTTGGTGCTGGTCAGGGCTGTGTTCTTTTTCTTCCATTTGCGTAAGTACTTTTTTCATTTCCCCTGCTATCACTACGTTTTTTTTTCTTCCTTTTAATATAAAACAAATATAAATCCAGGGGTCTTAACCAAATGGAAGTTTTGGCCTGCGCGCGGTTTGGCAAAGAGCAGCTCTCGCAAAACCCCCTCTCTTTTGTCCGACCCCCCCGGAAGCGAGCGAGCCGTGAGCCGCGAGCCGGGATGCGCAGACGGAGAGCCTTCTGCGGGTGGCCCTGGAGCACTTGGCCTAGCTGAAGCATTGCTGCGTTGAAGCAGGCACCTCTACCCCCCCCCCCCCACCCCAAAAACTATGTAAAAACATGAGCAGTCAGGTGTTGACAGATTCCTGGTCTTTTTGGTTTAAAATATTTTCTGGCATTTTAGGGGAGAGCATTGGCTCACAGGTGTTGGTTGAGAGCTTGCAGCTTTCTTTGTGCGGGAAGGGACACCCACTTGCAATCTTGATGCTTGCAGAGACTGATGTGTTTGGCACCGTGTTGCACAAAGACGTGAAGCCAGATCATCCACTTGTTTCAGTAGTTGGAGACGGAGTCAAAACTTCATGATGCCGAGGTTTGTCTTCCATCCATCTCGGACTCGCTTCTCTAAAGACTTGGTGATGCTGCGTGAGCAGGGGGCTGAGGGGTCTGGATATTGCTGCTTGGATGAGTCGACCCTGCATTCAACACAGCAGTTTTTTGTTGAACGGTCTCAGGAACTTTTTTGGAGGGGCTCAAGCAAATGCCATCGCATGCCACTGACGCACGCGTGTCGAGAACTTGATGCACTATACGCATTGTGTTGCATGCCATGTACACCTCAGTGTGATAGACAAGCACAGAGGGTTTACCTTGCCATGAACAAACGGTAACAGGATGGAGGGCGCAGGAGTGTTGCACGCTATCAAGCCATGCATGTGCAGACATGCATGTGAGCGCACTATGGCTAAGCATGGTTTAGATGGCGTGCACGCCTGCGCCAAAGGTGAACACAGTGCACGCAGACAGGGAGCACAACTTTCCTCTTGACGTTTTGTGCATAACGGGTAGCATATGTGCGGGGGCGAGAAGCAAGCGTTTGGCGAACAATGAGGACAGATATGTTGCCTGTCGCCCAAACAAGGTGATTGTCAGACCTGACACTCCGTTATGCACATTGCATACCGTGTATAGTATATGTCACGGTGCATTCACCCTCTCTGGACCTTCTCCACTGGCCATCCCAACGGATGTTCAATCAAAATGAGCCACAATCAAAGCCCGGTTAGATGAAGGTTAGTAAGTGACTCAAATGGCCGCGAAAGCATTGAGTTTCAGCCATTTTGCCCACGAAGGTGCAGTGCATCAGCAGCGGAAGCGCAACTTCGAAGGGAGCACTTGCCCAGGCGGGGTGAAGCAGGAATTCAACAATTTGCCAACGTTTGTTTTGCTCAGGGCTGTGGGAACTAAAATCCACTTCTGTGATACACCAAGGGCTTCCCAAAGACTATCTCCCCATACTTTAGAGCCTCCGGCTCTGTGCGCCGACATTGTCCTCTCCCTTTTCTCCTTCTTCCTTTCTCTCGTGTCTCCTCCCCCGTGTGTTCTGTCGTCCTCTCTCCCTCCCTCTGCTCCCCATCCTCCCCATCCCCCCAAGCCTCTCTCTCCTCACTCTCCCTCTCTCTGTCTCTCTCTGTCTCTCTCTATCTCTCGTTTCTCTGTCTGTCTCTCTCTCTCTCTCTCTCTCTCGTTAAAATACGTTGATACTTTACTTCTAGTGCAAGTGTTGTTCAGTTATCACAAACACAAATGTAGTCAGCCAGCATGCACTCTTGGTGTGAAAACACGGTCCGGTGTAGTACTGCCAGCCTGTTGTTCGACGGGCAGAGTAGTCTCTGGCGCTGATGTAGTAACCTCCATCGGCATGACATCCAGCGTAGTCGCATCCATGGGCGTAGTTCCAGCCATTGCTGGTAGTTTGGCCTATCGAGATGCAGTGAAACGGGGCAGACAGTAGTGAGCCAATGTTAGCTCACAAAAGCACATGCGGGCATGTAGTAAAACACAAAACAACATGTAGTGTTGACTCAAGCCGCCAAAAGCCGCCAAAAGTGCAAGTGCAAATTACTGGTGGTTACAATTACTATTACTTGTAGTCACTGTTACTGTTACTGTTACTTAAATGCAGGTAGTTACATATGGCCATATACAAACTGTTGTGATTGATGTGCAACAGTTGTGAAACAGTTGTTGTTCGTAGTGCTAAACACGTATGCCAATGCTCTGTATGAGCCTCTGTAGTGTTTCTTTGCTAATGTATTTTGTGAACAAGTCTGAGCTGTTGTGTAGTGTGTTGATTTTGAGGATTCTGATGATGTCGTGCTTGATGAGGTCTTGTGTGTAGAGAAATTTAAGGTCGATGTGTTTTGCTCGTTTGCTAGTGCCTTGTCGTGTAGCAATGCTCTTGCCTGCTGTGGAGTCTGTGTGGATGCGTAGATTTAGCTTGCTGCAAATGTTGGTTTCAAGTAGGAAGTTTCTGAGGTGTAGTCCCTCATTAACTCCTGTGCAAATGGCGTAGAGTTCAGACTCTGCTGAGCTGAGTGCTATTGTAGCTTGTGTTCTGCTGCCAAATGCAACTGTTGTTCCTAAAAAGATGATGTTGAAACCTGAAGTTGACTTCCTGGTAGCAGGGCATCCTGCCCAGTCGGCATCGACATGAACGTCGAGATCCAGGATGTTGTTAGTGTTTGCTCTGAGTGTTGTTGTTGGTTCTATGGTGAATTTGTAGTGCTTGGTGCCGTTCAAGTAGCGTAGTAGATGTTTGACTCTCTTTTGTGAGAGTTCTGTAAGGTCTCGTGCTAGTTCTTTTGTGGAGTATGCGATGTCTGGTCGTGTGTATGCTAACCATTGTAGTTTGCCAACAATCCTTCTGTACCTTTTGTGTTGTTCGTGGTCAAGTAGTGCTTCATCTTCTATTGTCGGTTTGTAGTGTGCAATTCCTGGAGTGTTCACTGGGTTGCAGTTGTTCATTCCAGACTCCTCGATCATGTTGTCGATGTAGGAGTCCTTTAGTCCCAGGTTGCAGTAGTTGCCAAAGTGGTCGATGTTTCTTCCAAGAAATTGTTGTGGTTTGCCAGGTTCGAGGTAGCCGATGTGCTTGAGTAGGACCTGCTTCTGGATGGCCTCGAAGGTGGAGTCGACAGTAGTCTTGTCACCAAGTACCAAGAGATCATCCACGTAGACCATGATGTAGCAGTCGCGAGTTGCATTGGTGTAGACGTTAGGTTCTGACTTTAGTCTTACAAAGCTGAGCTTTTGTAACACTTCAGCCAGGTAGTCCTGCCATGCTTTTGGTGAACTGCGTAGTCCATACATGGCTTTCTTTAGTCGCCAGATTTTGTCCTGTTGTGGACAAAGTTCTTTAGGTGGCCAAAGGTAGACGTCACGTTGTTTACCGTCGTGGTCTTTTGCGATGGGTGCGTGTAGAAATGCTGTAGAGACGTCGCCTAGTCGCGCTATCCAGTTTGGTCGTGACATTTGTAGTGCGAGAAGTGTCCGGAGTGTCGTGAACATTGGTGTAGAGGCGTAGACGGAGTCTTCGTCCTCGATCTTCTCTGTGTAGCCTTTTGCGACGATTCGACTTCGCACTCCTGGTCCTTTCTTCCTGTGTACCCATCTAGTAGGTATCGCTTCTCTTATGACGTTGTCGTCGACGGTAGACGCATCTACTTCGTCGTAGACGTCATGTAGCTTCATTTGATTTGACTCGTGTTTCATTCCTTCCAGTAGTTGTGTTTCGTCGTAACCTTCGTTGTCGAAGATTATGGGTTGGTCTTCTGAGGTGTCGTCGTTTGTGTAGGGTGTGATGAATTTGCCGTTGGGAAGTGTCACTGCGTTAATTTTCTGTCGTAGTGGTGGTGGTTCTTTGGTTG